CCCAAGGTGCCTCTCACCCTTTCTCTTTTTTCTCTTTCTGTGTGGTTCCCAAGGTGCCTCTTACCCTTTCTCTATCTGTGTGGTTCCCAAGGTGCCTCTCACCCTTTCTCTTTTTTCTCTTTCTGTGTGGTTCCCAAGGTACCTCTCACCCTTTCTCTTAATGTGTGGTTCCCAAGGTAACTCTCACCCTTTCTCTCTTGTGTGGTTCCCAAGGTGCCTTTCACCCTTTCTCTTTTTTCTCTTTCTGTGTGGTTCCCAAGGTGCCTCTCTACCTTTCTCTTTCTGTGTGGTTCCCAAAGTGCCTCTCACCCTTTTTCTTTCTGTGTGGTTCCCAAGGTGCCCTTTACCCTTTCTCTTTCTGTGTGGTTCCCAAAGTGCCTATCCATCAAATCCACCTAAACTAAGGGGTGTGTGGTTGCTTGTCTGAGGACTTTCACAGGCCAGATCCAGGACAGTGATTCTGGTGGAAAGATTTACACATTCTTTAGACTTTCTCTTGTGAGGTCTTTCGATGTTCCAATCCAGAATTTTATTAAGATGTGAACTGTGAATCTTGGTAATAGCAACATACAATGGAAAGTACGTAATGAGATCTCTAAGAGCGAGGCAGTCACGTTTAAGATGAGGAATTCATAATTTCCAAACAAATTGTATAATGGCTTAGCAGTATTTTTTTTTGTTTTTCCTCAATTATTTTTATTAATAAGGCACTGCCCCTACTGCTTCTGTGGACAAGCATCCACCGAATATTTGTATGCTATTGGTTTTGCTTTTGTGGAGTATTAAAAGGTGTCAGCTGGAAGCTTAGATGTTCTTTGTCTGAGGGTTTATTGGATCCTAGGAAATGTGCCATAGACTATTGATTGTATTTTCTCTGAAATAATACTCATTGTACTGCTAGTGTAGAACTCTTACAAGAATCCATTTGTACAAGCACTGAAGACAGCATTATCCTGGAGATTATTTCCTGTAATTGTGCAGTAGACTGTACACATACCACTCACAAAATAAGATTGTTTTAATAATTAATTTAACTCCATTCAAACCCAGTTGATTTTATATATAGATATAATAGATTCAATACAATGTAAACAAAAATGTGCACACCAGTCAAGCCATAAGACTTGCTTTTGCCACATAAATCACAAATTTGCAGTGATGTTACTACTGCAAAGGATTCTGGGTGGGCATCTGCAAATTAGTTCAACAAAGAATCACATTTTTGCCTCATTCCATTTTAAACATGGATTCCTTTGAGTCTGTGTTTGCTGTATACAACAGCTTTGAAACACAACTTAGGAAAATATGCAAAGCCAGTGAACCACTCATGGACAGCTGTTTCATTGTTAATGCAAACCATCAGCATGAGGTTGGTTACTGGTTTGCTTTTGAGGCTTGGTAGTGCTTGGGAAGCAAAAGTTTAACTAATTTGGATATGCCCCCCCAGAATCCTTTGCGGTAGTAACGTCGCTTCAAATTTGTGATTTCTGTGGGAAAAGCAAGTCTTATGGCTTAACTGGTGTGCAGATTTTTGTGTAACATTGTATTAACTATCCACAGACTTCAGGTGGAAGGGGTTTTCAATCACAATTTTCCCCACCATAACTTTTTTTGGTGTATATTTGTATCTATGTATATATACTTCCCCCCACCATGGATATTGTGTTCAACATTTCAAATTTGAATGTGTGTAATTTCAATTTAATAAATAAATTGGGTACATCTATCTTAACTCCGAAGCTAATTTGCATTGTTTTTTATGTTTGTTGGGTTAAACAGAGCAAATATCAGCTTTGCCCATTAAAGTATCAGTATCACTAAAATTCATTTTTTACCATTGTTACCACTCAGGGGTATAATCAATATGCATGTGAACAGGTTATTGATACAGGTAGAAATCTGCCTGCTCTACCATACCTTATCTCCCTGGCAGTTGCATGAGGTATAAATATTCTGGAAATAAGCAGGGGGGGGGGACTCTATGTGTCCCACATAACTCCCCCACCCACTGCCCAGCAGTGAGGCAGCAACAATAACGAGTGGCTGTTCAGCTACAGCTGCCCAGACGCTAAATGAGAGGCTATAGCTGCACAGTCACTCGTTATTTTATGCTCCCTCACTGCTGTGGTCTGTTAGAGGTGGTATGGGGCCTGTTAATGAATATGGAGGGACCTGACACTAGTGACTAAATATCGGCAGGTGGGCTTGCGATTATCCATCCCTCTGGCCCCAGACATGGTCAGTGGGTGGATGCTATGTTATAATAACAGGGTAACCTGGATTTGTTCCCCCTCTACTACTCCATACATTAGTGGCTGGTGGCCAATAGTGAGAGGCAATACTTGCCAGTCAGAGTACTGCGATTGGTTGGTGCCAAACAATGAGCCACATCACTCTATCTGATACTCAAAGAGTGTTAAAGAACTTATAAAGGCCTTTCTCATAATGAATAATCAAGAACCTATGTGTTATGGCTGCCAGACTGACAGCAGTCTTATACAAGTAGTGATTTTTGCAAATGGCTGACATCATATGGTGTAATACAAAGTGCATGTGGTGCTTACATTCACCCTTTATTTGCAGCTGAATGCAGTGAGCACATCTGAAATCTTCTGGCAGATAATGTATCGTAAAGCGAGTTCTTAGCACCAAATAAACGTTATCTTACCAAACTGGTTTTATAGACCATGCTTTAATTCCAGGGGTGTGGACAGGGGTGGGGCTGTTCTGATACATTTTAGGTGACTTACTAACAACAATTTAATTCAAGTAAGATTTTACTATATTTAGGGAGGCCAAGGGGGCTTAATAGTTATTTTACTACTATAGGATCAGGAATGCATGTTTGTGTTCTTGACCCTATAGAGTTCCTTTAAACAGCTGCAAAAAGTAGTGTAGCGCTTATATGTACATACCATGATAAAGTGCAACACAGTGCTTTTAGTGTCACTTCTAAAAATCACAAAACACTTATCTTACAACTTGATTATAGAAGCTCCATACGCGAACCTTTAAAATATAAATAATATAAAATAGTGTAATCTTTGTGAAATTGTCAGAAATCCTAAAAAATAAAACACACACAATTTACAGAGCTAAGCTATCTAGCTCTGGTATCGTGGACTTGTGGGTCTGTATAGGCGACCCTCCCTATAGGATAATGTGGAATCTTCTTATCTTTAGAAGTTCTCATGCAGGTAGTTCAGAAAGTATAAAGTGCATATAGTGTGATACCACTTTAAAATGGAATTATAATATTATTAAATGAGTTATAGTCACAAGTGTGGAGCTTCTTCAATGGCTCAATTTTGTAGCCTTGTATGGTATGGGACAATGCATGCCTTTTGCATACAGAACACTGAATATATTGTGATTATTTTTAAAAGGTATATACGGTTTTATTGCTTATATAAAGAAATCAAATATAAAAACAATACAAAATATTACTTGTTATAGTCCAATTTATATTAGAAACATAGAAACATAGAATGTGACGGCAGATAAGAACCATTCGGCCCATCTAGTCTGCCCAATTTTCTAAATACTTTCATTAGTCCCTACTCTTATCTTATAGTTAGGATAGCCTTATGCCTATCCCACGCATGCTTAAACTCCTTTACTGTGTTAACCTCTACCACTTCAGCTGGAAGGCTATTCCATGCATCCACTACCCTCTCAGTAAAGTAATACTTCCTGATATTATTTTTAAACCTTTGTCCCTCTAATTTAAGACTATGTCCTCTTGTTGTGGTAGTTTTTCTTCTTTTAAATATAGTCTCCTCCTTTACTGTGTTGATTCCCTTTATATATTTAAATGTTTCTATCATATCCCCCCTGTCTCGTCTTTCCTCCAAGCTATACATGTTAAGATCCTTTAACCTTTCCTGGTAAGTTTTATCCCGCAATCCATGAACCAGTTTAGTAGCCCTTCTCTGAACCCTCTCTAAGGTATCAATATCCTTCTGAAGATACGGTCTCCAGTACTGTGTACAATACTCCAAGTGAGGTCTCACCAGTGTTCTGTACAATGGCATGAGCACTTCCCTCTTTCTACTGCTAATACCTCTCCCTATACAACCAAGCATTCTGCTAGCATTTCCTGCTGCTCTATTACATTGTCTGCCTACCTTTAAGTCATCAGAAATATTCCAGATACCTGTTTCAACGAAGTTCTCAGCTTCCTCAGTCCGGTAAGAATCAAGTAGTCATTTATTACCTTTTAAATGGCTTTGCTTCCTTCATTGAAGCCATGTGGAACAACGTTATCCTCTTCCACTTCCATCAGGAACGGGCCACATTCCAAACCTCCTTTTCAATCGTGGGTGCCATCTTGCTTGCTTCCTTGACACAACTCAAGTTCCTCTCACTAAGATCATCACATTTGATGATATCTCATCCTATCCAATACTATGTAGAGAAGCACTGGATCTGACTCAGTGAAATATCAGGAAGTGCCTCTAGTGGCTGACTGGTAGATATCCAATACCGGCAGTCTTAACTTTGCAATGAAAACATTGCAGTTCCTCAAAGGCTGCAATATTTTACATTGCGGGGTTGAGGGGACAGAGAGACTTCACCCAGACCATTGCAATGGGATCAAGTGGTCTGGGTGACTATAGTGTCCCTTTAATAAACATTTGAGTTGATGGGCTGTGTATATGTTTTCTAGATTGAAAAAAGTCTTGCACATATTCCTCTGATGTCATGAGGGTCTCTAATCAGTCCATATAGAATTAGGAGAATAAGGGGACATTACTAGCAGGGAAATCCCTAGTCATGGCAAAACTGTTAAAAGTAACACTTCTATGTTAAAACAAATGTAATTTTAGTTTTGGAGTTTTCCTTTTTTTGTTCTAGATTTAGGTACCCCACTTTTTTATTGATAAAATAAAATAAACTAACCCTTTTTTATTTATTTCATCAGCTAGAGCTCCTTGGATAGAGTTTCTTTGACACATCTCAAATTCCTCTCTATAAGATCTAAGAGACTGCCTCTCTGCTATTAAGAACTGGATTACTGCCCAATTCCTTAAGTTCAACTTGTCCAAAACAGAACTTCTGGTCTTTGCTCCCTCAAATGTTCCTACTCCTATTTTCTTCCTCCCTTTACATTAACAGCGTTACCATCAGCTCCACCATGCAGGCTTACTGCCTAGGTGTTCTCATTGACCTCTCCTTCACCCCTCATGTTCAGTCAATTGTAAAATCCATCCAAACCATTGTCCAAATCCACCTCTACTTTACGCCAGATGCAGCTAAGGTGCTGGTCCATGCCACTGTCCTCTCTCGCCTTGACTACTGCAATCCACTTCTCAGTGGTCTTACGTGATTCCAACTTGCTGCAGTGCAATCTACAATGAGTGTGGCGCCGAAGCTCATCTTCCTGTCTGACCGCACATCCCACACCTCACCCCTGTGTCAGTCCCTGCATTTGCTTCCCATAATACATGACTCAATTTCAAATTCTGGTTCTTGCTTTCAAGTCCCTACATAATGTTACTCTTACCTATCCATCCTCCCTAATACACAAGTATGTCCTGTCTAGGCCCCTACGCTCCGCTGAAGACCTAAGTCTATCCTCTGTTCGTACTCCGACCCCTGATGCTCACCTTCAAGACTTCGAGGGCTGCACCGTTCCTGTGTTCCTGTGTCCCAGTCTCCACTCCACAGAAACCCATCAAAAGCTCACTTTTTCACAAAAAATGCATGTTTATAGACCGATACAAAGATAAAGAATGTAAAAATAAAAAGCCTGAGGAAAAATAGGCAATCTGAAAGAAAAATCTTTATTTCCTTTGCACTGACAGCAGAGCTATTTTAGCCAAAATGTTTCCATTCAGATTTGCTACAGTTTGGAGATTAGTAAATAAGCCCCATTTTATTTGATTTATTTCTTGTATTATCTTTCTGGATAACTCTCACCAGGAAGCAATGCTTGCACAAGTCTCACATTTGTGTGAAGTCATAAAACTGCTCAGTGGTGCTGACCATTTCTTAAAAAGTTGTCAGTCTGAGTGTAGTGAGGCGAATGTGCCCGGTTTAAACTTTTAGCTGATAGAATAATACAAACTCATTAGCATGTTGCTCAATAGCTGGACATAGAACAAGAGTTCGTTCTTTTCATCTCCTACCAAGGGAATCACTGTAAGAATGCGTTCAGGATGCCAGTTGATTACCATACCGTTAAATATCTGTGTTCGTTTTATTGTGTTGGGGCATTTTACAGCCTTTTCCTTCTATACCTTGTATGTATTAAACACCAAGCAAATTCTTTAAACAACTATGCACTGCAGTAACCAGTCCTTCCCTTTGATTTCTGGGCTTCAGACCAGCACGTTTTGTAGTAACAAGCTTTGGCAAGGATTGAGACAGATTTTTTAAACGCGTCTAAATAGTGCGGCCTCATATATTTTTTTTCTTACTAACTTTTTTTTTACTGATTGAAACATTGACAGTTTTATTTAAAACTCTTGGGGTTTATATACACTTGCCAAGTGCCCCTGCAGGGAAATATTTTTTTTTTTCTTTAGGTCCCCGCAATATCGTGTCCACTGTTTCTTACTCCAGAGGTGATGTTTATAATCACAATTCTAACTAAAATAAAAATTGTTGCTGCTTAACTTATGGTAATACTGTGTGTAAACTGCTAATGCCAGCCATCACAATCCTGTGCACGTGTTCTAAATTGACTAAAAAAATTTGACTCTAAAATTTCTATTTTATATTTAAGAAGCACCTCTCAATTTCAATTTAAGAAAGAAAAAAAACACCCAATGTTTTTTTTTTCTTTAAACAAACATGGTTATTCACAAAAGTGTTAGTTGTTGGCAATTGAAAGCTGCTTAATGATTTAGCATCAAATGGAACCACATCGAAATCCAGAACAAAAGTTATGGAGACTAGCTGACTTTAATCATTTTTTCCAAACAGCCATTTCAGCCAAAATTTTCCCATATGCATTTAAATAAAATTATTATTATAATATAAATATTATTTTGGACTGACAATTAAAGGTTATTTGGAAGTCACCTTAAATTCCCAACAGTATACCTGTTAGAGTTTGGTTGTAATATTCTAATTTAGGTCTGAAGATAAGATTGATCACCTTAGTGATTTTCCTAAATTGATCTTAAAGCGGACCCCTAGCCAGCAGGGATCCAGAATTACCAGCTTACACAATAGGTTGAGGTTTTATTCACCAGCATTTCCTGTATGTGGAGAAATCTGTACACATAAACCCTTAAAATTCTTCACCAGAGTAAATAGTGTTTTAGCCAGGAATCTGGCAGTTATTTGCACTTTTGTGTTGGGGGTTAGTTGAACCCCTGACATGTGACATAGGCAGCCCATAACTCTGTTCTGGGCTCCCTAATGTCAATTCTGTGCATATATTACAAAATATTTCTGCCTTTCTAATAGATGCACTTAACTATGGAAAGAGAAACTCAACATAGTGTGTACTGTTTTAAAACATATTTATCTTTAATTAAAAATGCACTTACAAAATGTATTTTCTCAAGGAGCATGTAACCATATACAAATGGTAGCACAGGAACAATCCTAGAATCTTCTATATTTGTTCCACAAATCCATAACAAAATAGATAGTAAAAAGCAAAATAAATACAAATATAAATATGCCAACGCGTTTCGTCCACTCTGTGCCGACTTTTTCATGGGTGTAGGTTTGGATCTTCCTCAAACCCTTATAAAATGCTTGTAGCCAATAATTATCTGATCCACATGAGTTCTGGTCACCCGCCTCAACCCATCACGTTCCAAACTTTGCTTTCAGTGCCGTGATACTTGCGTCTGTATGTGACTTATATGCATTCCACATATTTAGAAGCAGCAGAAGCTTGTGTTTCACAGCTTGTCTCCATGCTTAAAGGCACATAATAGTCTACAATAGCACATACAATGAATTAAAATGAATAACTACGCACAGAAAAAAAAGGGATGTTCTCTAATACTCAACTGCAAAACTTTGGTATTAAAACAGACAGTCATTTAAAGGCAAAGCCGACCACTAATGTTTACAGTGTTATCCTATGTGTATATTTCTTTATTCATTTTTGGAGATTACCTTATTTTGTATTTATGGTTATAGAAATTTCTTGGGATTTCTACAGTATATAGGTGTATAACAGGGTAAATTGTTTTCTCTCCTCACTTATCTCAACTGGTGTTTTACATTTGCATATAGTTGTTTTTGTATGCATATTTTGTATGTTTGTCGTCAGTGTGCACTGCACGCTGGAGACAGACATAATCTAATTATGCCTCCCCTCCCTCTCTTGCTGCAGCCATCTCACCTCCCTATCCCCTATTGGCCCGCGTGTTGTCTGCAATGATGCAATGATGCAATGATGACAGTATTTTACTACGGCAAGTTTCAATTTAATTCGGTATAAATCTATACTTACCTTTAAATTATCGAACAGTTAAGAAAGACTTTTTGACATTAAAGAGTTATCACTAACATCAAGAAAACACAATTCTTAGGATTGAAGGAAAACTTCAGGAAAACAATTCAGGAATATCAAGACTGGAACAACATAGGGTTATCGCGATGGTGGACATCACTCATTTTTAATGCTCTACTTTTCTAAAGTCACTATTGTTCAAAGTTGAATTTTCTCACGGACTGCAATAAGAATACAAAATTTGAGATTCAACAGAAAGAAGTGTCTTGAGCTGTATGACAGTTAAATTGCTTGTGTGCTGTTGGTCTCTATTCTTCCACGAATACGTACGTTAACCAGAGGGATACAGTGGTAGTAACAGAATGGAATAAGGCAGGAATAAATGTGAGACTAGAAAATAGGTGAAATATGGGAAGCGGGACATCTTGGTTTTTGTCAGTGAGTCTGTCGCAAACTAACAGTAACAGTATGTCTGCTTTGAAATGGGAGTGATTTAAAGCATTTTGATGGTTCTTTTCTAAATGACCTATTGTCGTGAATTTAATCCAGAATAACTGAGTTTGGAAAAATTTACATCTTCGCTATTTTGGCCTAAATGTGTCAATTTAATAAATAACCAACTCCTTTTTATGTCTCGACAAATGCCTCACAATATTTCCTTTTTTCCCAGACTCTTAAAGGGTTATTAACCAAAGTGAGAATTCAAGGTGAATTTCAAATTTAAGGTCAAAATAGAGGAACTGTAAAAAAATCTCTATGCTTTTAATTTAGCTACTCTGGCCCTAAATGTAAAATTCATTTTCAATTTACTTTGAATTCTCCCTTTTGTGAATAAACCTGTATGAGTACAAATGGTATACTCAACTTAAAATAAATCACTTGGTGATTACCTTCAAAATAAAGCATTTACTGTGTCCACAGCCAATCACTGCGTACCAGAACACCTACACCCAGCAAAAATGGTACTTATAGCAAGAGAACATAACCGATAAACCTAGAAAGGGGGTTAATTTATTCTGCAGTCACAGATTATGCTATTACATGTCAAGTTTAGAAAGGTTGTATCGGACATCTACTGTTCCTGTAGAACTGGTTTCCTTTACACCACGCCACCAATTATTATAATATGTATATCGATTCATTCACTGTGCCCAAGTTTCCATTTTATTCTATCCAGCTCGTATTTGAGTCCAATGGTTACAGTTGTGAAAATCAAAAAAATATACAGGCACTTTGATTTACATGGAAAAATTCCCATCACTAAAGACCAAAAGGTTTGAAACATGTAAGGAATTTTTGATCACCCATTCCATGTCGGTCAAGGTGCCAATAAACGTTTTTCTTAATTTATGGTGAGAGCATGCTTTGATGTGCTTTATGCAGTTTTCATATTCCCCACATAAAAAAATAATTTTGTCTTGCCATGTTTTCAATTCCATAAATGTCAGTAGGTTTGATATCACCTCTACACATGCCCCACAACATCACATTTTCCTGCTTTGGTTATAAGAAATGTCTTTGTTCCTTTAAAAACATATTTTAATTAAAAATTGCTGATTGCAGAGTTACATAACACAGATTTTTTTCTCTTTTGAAGGTGAAGCTCGATCACCGCATAGAAGCATTTCTATTATAAGCAGGAATGACTCTGCTTTTTGTGTAAAGTATATTGATAGTCTAATAAAGGAAAATTATACCACATGATGGTGCGTATCAGTGGTACTGCACCTCCAGAGATCCAGATTCAATCAATGACAAATGTAGAGTGACCTTCAATGAATGTATCATTTATAAATATCATCAGTCTAATAGTTACCAATACCTTTACCAAGGAATAGTGTCCCCTTCCTGGGACATTAGTGAAGGTGAGTCAGAACAGAATGAGGCTTTACTGCACTTTAATAAGAGTTAAATAGAAGGTTATAACCAGGCCCCAGATATGGCATATGGCCCAAGTTGGTACAAGACAGAAAAGAGGCTGGTGACATAGAGAAAGGTAAAGGAAGGTGAGGAATATGTAAAAATGGTGGAAACTCTTCAATACTTTTAACAGCAAGCAGTTCATTGTTACAGTGCATGGTCACTACCAAAATGTCAGAGTGTGTGGCAGATTGCAAAATCCCAAGATTGTAGGAATCTAAGCTAGTCACCGATAGGAAGAGGGTATCCCATATCAGTACAGACCCAAATTGGTTTCTACTAAAAAGAAATGGATAGTGTAGCAGTGGTTTCTTCTTAAGGGCAATGAAAATCTTTAAAGTGACAGACTAAACACCCAAACCACTACATCTTACTATAGTGGTTTTGGGGAAAGGGTGCTGTCTTTTTTTGTCTGGCAATGTAAAATGAGAAATGGCAGTGTTTAAATGTTATCCCAGATAACCCCCTAGTGGCTGTCAGACAGATTTACAACACATTGTGATGGCATTGAATGCTATTAAAGGAGCACTCCCACAGTTATTTTAACTAATTTAAGTTATTATAGGGATGCGGACATGTCCAAGCACTTTCTCACCTTAATACTTTTAACCATGAATAGGCACCCATTGAAATAAATAGTACATACTAAGTGAATTTAAAAAAAACAAACAGTATGTTTCCCACACAACATTAAGAATGGCTTACTAGAAATAAGCCTTTCCGGAGGTCAAATAAGCGTTTATATCATGCCAGCATATTCCACAGCACTTTACAATTATAGGAAGGGGTTACTCTTAGTAATGTTATTATTTGTAAAGCACTAACAAATTCCGCAGGGCTGTACAATAAGTGGACTAACAGACCCATATTTGTTACCAGATGCACAGGAACATCGGGGGTTGAGGGGCCTGCTCAATGAGCTTACATGCCAGAGGGAGTGGGATATAGTGACACAAATTGTAAGGACAGGGTAGCTTTTTAGAATTTACTGAGAGCTTAGTGTTTGTTTGTTTTTGTTTTTTTAATGACAGTTGCAGTGAGGAATCAGTGCGGAAAGGCAAAACTATTAATAGTTTAATTGATACGCTTTCCTGGAAAAGTGAGTTTTCAATGATTTTATGAAGGAATTGGAGACTAAGTGAATGTCTAACAGAGAAGGGAGTTCCACAGGAACGGTG